AATAAAACAGATAAAAGAAGTTATGTCAGAAATTTAAATTTATAGCTTTTGTCAAAATAAAATGAAAACTAAATGTCACAAAACTTAAACCAATAAAAAAATAAATATGTGAATCTACAACAAAAAAGTTAATTTAACGAATGAAATTTAAATATACTTTAAATGAATTTTTTTTGTTTGAAGTTAGCTTTAAACTAACTATTAAAGAAATCAATATAAAAATCTATAAGTTAATTTAAAAAAAGAAATTTAAATACACTTTAAATGAAAAATTTATTTAACTTTAGCTTTAAACTAACTATTAAAGAAATCAATATAAAAAACTAAAGCTTTAAAAGAACAATTTAAGAAAATAATAAAATTGAATGAAAACAAATAAAATGTAAATTATGTTTTATAAAATGTTAATACAATTAAAATCAAAATTAATACCAAAAAATATTTAAAAAATCATTGAAAAACAAATTGAGTTGATATATATACTAACTATTATAAAAAACCAATAAAAAAGAGTCTCGCTAACAGAAATAGAGAAAAATTAACTGTAAAAATGTTAATATTTATAAAACAATTATGTTTCAAAATTCAATAAGAATTAACTGAAAAAAGTAAACTAACTAAGGAAAAAAATCATATAAAAAAAATTAACTTGATATTTACGCTAACATTTTTTAAATATTAAAATAAAAAAATCAATAACAGAAAGTTAGATTAACAAAAGAATTTTTTTAACATATATACAAAGAATCGCCTATACCCGCCAAAACAAAAAAAATTCATATTCTCGTCAAACCTGAAATTTTATTTTCCCACCAAAACAGAGAAATTGCATTTTTCTGCAAAAACCAAAATATCACATTTTCCGCGAGAACCTGTGTTTTCCCTGCCAAAACCGAGAAATCAAGTTTTTCACCAAAACCAAAAAATTTCATATTCCTTCAAAAACCAAAAAATCGTATTTTTCCATCAAAACCAAAAAAATTATTTTTCCGCGAAAACCGAGAAATCGTCTATTCCCGCCAAAATAAAAAAAAAACCATTTTTTCGTCAAACCAAGAATCATGCTTTGCCAAAACCGATAAACTACAATTTCCCGCGACAACCAAAAATTGCATTATCTCACGAGAAACCATTTTTTCGTCAAACCAAAAATCATGCTTTTCGCTATTTTTATCTTTTGTGTGCTTTCTGCATATTTTTATTTGAATATTTTATCTAGATATATCAATCTGAGTTTGATTCATAACTCTGTCATACTTAATTATTTAAATATTATTTTAGAAAGTGTTTCTCATGTGTTGTTAATGTTGGTTGATATAGTAGTTATGTATAAAAATCAGATTTTTCTGCTTGTTAAATTTCGAGTGTAAAGTTATTTATGTAGAAATTTGTTTTTGTTAGTGTTAAATCAGAAGTATCCAGTGTATTAATCATTTTATATTTAAAGATTATGTTTGATTTAGCATTCTATGTAAACCTATTGCTACTTTATATAATTATCCATTATCGATACTATATAATAGTTTAGAAATCAAATACTTTCCATCATTTGATAGTAAAATTATATTTTATTTTAATTTTTACAAATTTGATTTGTATGTTTGATATACTTAGGTCTTATCCACTACATATTATTTGAGAAGTAACATTATTGAAAATAGCTGACTTATCAACACTACAACCAAAGTTAGTGCTTTTAATTGATGACATGTAAATGTGACATGTCAAACTTCCAAAAATAAATGAAATATTTTGATTGGTTGAATTAAAATTAAAGAACTTGTGGACTTAAAACATAAAAACACTAGATACTTATAACACTAAAATTAACAAATTTTGAATCAACAGAAAATAATTATTATTAAGATTTAATGTTTTACATATATTCATAATTTCATAAAATATATATTTCATATGAAATCGAAAAAATAATACTGAATTATCCAATAGAATAGTAAAGATTTTATATATTAATAATGTTTCAATTACGATATATTTTTATTTTTGAAATTTATTGATTTACAAAATATAGTAATAACATCTAAACAATTTTTAAATAAATAAATTATTAAATAATACAATTTCAAATAAAATACAATCATGATAAAAATAATTTAAATAATAAAAAATTTAAAATAATAAAAAATAATTAACTTTTGTTGAAATTTTTTAACAAACGTAATTTAAAATAAATTTTATTTTCAAACTAATATTTACTAAATGGATAAAGTATATACTAATTATTATTTTATAATATTAATAGGACCATATATTTTTAAAAAACTTTTGTCACATTTTTTTATTATTTTCTAAAATATACATAACTTATATTACCATCTCATATTATCTCTTATCATATTTTAAATATAAAAAACTATATCATATTCATATATATATATATATATATTCGTAATTGTTTTATTGTATATCAAATATTTGAGATCATAAATAAAATAAAAAAATAACCTAATGAAATAATAACTTAAAATAAGATGAACTAAATATGAATAAGAATTAAAAATATAAGTGTATAAAAATAAATCTCTCGCACTTTGTTTTACAAAGTCACTTAAAAGCTTTTTAACATGTAAGAGCCATATTTCGACTTTTTTACAAATACGCGTACAAACATAAATATTAATTGTGCATTAGTAGAAGTCACATGAACTTTTTCGTGCATGTTAGTATTTGTTAAGATTGATTACAGTCTAATTTATATTTTAATTTTTATAGTACAATTTATTTTTTTAAAAAATCTTTATCTATTCTAAGTTTAGTGAGGTGGTTTGTACCTCCACATATGCATGTCAACTATCTATCCGCTCTTAGGATAAGTAAAAATGGTAAAAACTATTTCAATTTAATTTGCAATAAATGAAAAAAATATATACTTCAAAATATATTATATACGTATTTCAAATTCATATTATGTAAAACATAAAAAATTAATGTAGATTGTGTAAGGTAAAATAAAACATATTATAAATAATATTCAAAAAATATTATAAGAATTTAATTATTATTTAATATAAATTTTATATTTTTGATTATATATTATTACAAATTTCATAAAAAAAAAAAGTTTTAAAATACATTAGTTTCAGAAATAAGTCATTAAATACTAAAACAATATATATATATATATATATATATATATATATATATATATATACAAACATACTAATATTTTAACTATGTATATCAAAAATATTATACCCGCACATATGTGCGGGCCAACCACCTAGTATTTTGTTATAATTAAGCTCTTTTGTTGTTGATTCTCAAAATAGGTAGCATATGTGTCAATTTAATTTCTTTTACTCTAATGCTATTTATTTTTTAAATTTGCTATTTTAATATTAATTTTCATTTTTGTTATAATATTGGTTTGAGACATTACAACTGTTCCTTATGAATTTTAAGTCGACTTATCTCAAAATATTACTGTAATATTTGTTTTTTTTTCATTAAGTTTTTTTTGTTGATTTTCAAAGATATTAGCCTAAATGTCACATTAGTTTTCTTATTTGGCTTTTTTTCCTTTGTTAATTTACCTTGATTCCAATTTGTTTTGAAAATTTTTTGTTTTGTAAATATTGACATTTTTACAGACATAGTTTTCTCTCTTTTCTGTTAATGAGACTTTTTATATTGATTTATTAAATAGTTAACATATATATCAAGTCAAACTGTTTTAGATAATGTTTTTAAAAATATAAAAATCTTTTCCGATATTAATTTCAATTTTAACTGTATTAACATTTTGTAAAACATAATTTATCTTTTATTTGTTTTTGTTCATTTTTATATTAATTTCTTAAATAGTTAGTTTAAAGCTTTATTTTTTATACTGATTTTTTAAATTTATATGTTAAATTTTTTTAAATAAATTACTCATTTAAAGTGTATATTTTTAAAACATTCTTGTGCTAATTTAACTTTTATTGTTATTGATTTACATTTTTGTTTTGTTTGTTAGTTTAGATTTTGTGACATTGTTTCTATTGTATTTTGACAAACGCTATAGATTTAGATTTTTTGACATAAATTTATTTTATCTGTTTTGTTAGTTAAACTTTTTTTTATCTTAATCTTCCATTATACTATGATAATTTTCTATTTTTGTGTGTTTGAATTTATTTTTATTAATCATTTATAATATTTTGTGTTTAATACTGTACAAAGTATTGATGTAGACCAATCATATTGAATTTCTTCATCATATGTGAACGCACTCAATGACCGAAGATTTTAACTTTCACATAATATAGATTTTTATTCTAATATGATACTTTTGTTTTTTTTTGTATATTTTAATTTATTTAAGCTTCTAATCATATTTAACTTTTTGTATTTTAATGATCAATCAGATTGTGTTTTTTCGTCCCAATTGAACATTAATATTTTTGATGAATTTATATAAATTACTAATTTAAAATATATATGTTAAATATTTTTCTTGTTAATTTAACTATTTTGTTACTGATTTACATATTTATTTATTTATGTTAATTTTGCTATTGTGACATTGAGTTTCCATTTTATTTTGGTAAACACTATATATTTGGATTTTTTACATAACTTTCTTTTATCTGTTTTGTTAGTTAAATTTTTTATCTTAATTTTCTATTCTAATATGATAATTTTTGTTTTTTTATTTATTTAAATTTATTTAAACTGGTAATTATATTTAATATTTTTTTGTTTAATAAAAATTATTGATGTAAACTAATTATATCGAGTTTTTTAATCCTATATGAACGTTCTTTATGTACTATGCTATCAATTTTTATATATTATAGATGAAACCCAAAAGTCGAGAAGAAAAGAAAATTTCCTAAATTTCATAATGCATTGAGGAGGAAAGGAAAATTCCTAAATTTGGTTTATTGCATAATTTCTAAGAATCAGGAGGAAAGGAAATTTCCTAAATATTATAAAAAGTCTCGATAATCTTTAAAATCGTTCTAATATTCTCTAATGAAACCCAAAAGTTTAGGCAAGAATCAGGAGGAAAGGAAATTAGCAGGACGACGACGTTCTCATCTGAAACCTTTTTAACGAAACGTGCGAGATATCTCACAAGTCACAAACACAAATTCGCTCTCTCCTTCCCTTCTTCTGTGGAGCTTTCACCGTCGAGAGTTCGCTGATTTCCAAAAATCCTATGGAGCTCCTCCGATCCAACTTGTCTAGGGTTCAGATCCCCGAACCCACCCATCGCGTCTACAAGCACGAGTGTTGCCTCTCCTTCGACACTCCGGTAAACCTCTCGATAAACCCTCAGCTCCTTTACTGGCGGCGACTGTTTGATTTTAGTTCTATTTCCCTGCATATAATTTTTTTATTCGTTTGGTTTGATGATTCCGCGTTGATGATTTTCAGAGATCCGAAGGAGGATTGTTCGTAGACATGAACAGCTTTCTCGCTTTTGGGAAGGATTATGTTGCTTGGAATCACGAGAAGACGGGAAACCCTGTTTATTTGCACATTAAGGAGACGCCGAAGTCTGATCCTGAGGATCGGCCTCTGAAGAAACCGACTCTGCTCGCTATAGGTATACAATTGCAGTGCCGTATCTGTTTCATAGAAGGTGCAAACACTCTCATCTAAGATATTGAATTTGAACTGATTAGCGAACTTTTTGATCCTAATCTGCAGGAGTTGATGGGGGATTTGACAACAATGAGCCTGAGTACGAGGAATCTTACAGCATAGTCATACTTCCGGATTTTGTTTCACTTCCATTCCCTTCTGTTGAACTTCCTGAGAAGGTGCTAAGCGATTTCTTGTGATTTTAGCTTTGTTACCAGAGAAGGTTTAAAGCAACACCATGCATGTGTTTATCTTTTTGTATTTTGTGTTGTAGGTGAGGATTGCTGTCGATACTGTACTGAATGCCGTAGGTGCTGAGCGTAAAGAGCAAGTTGCAGCTTGGACAGCTGAGAAAAAGAAAATCAGTGAACATGCATTGACACTGCAGCAGATCAAAAGTGGCATTGTCATTCCTCCCTCTGGCTGGATATGTTCCAAGTGTGATAAGCGGGAGAACCTCTGGCTTAATCTTACCGATGGAATGATTCTCTGTGGAAGAAAAAACTGGGATGGAACTGGTGGAAACAACCATGCAGTTGAGCACTACAAGGAGACATCCTACCCTCTTGCTGTGAAGCTTGGAACAATCACAGCTGACTTGGAAGCAGCAGGTAAAGTTGTCTTCTTACCTTGATCTGGTTTTATTCGACTCTGTTGGGAAAATCTTTACTTTGGTTTCTGAGAAATGTAAAGGCTTGTGACATTCAGGGAATAGAATATGCCTGTTTGAAAAGTTTCTAGGTAGTATTCAGCCGTACTACATGTATGTTAAAAAAGGCTGCTCTCTGCCCTTAAGGCAACCAAAAGTTTCTATGTGGCTGGAACGTTCAGAGATTTCAAGTTGTGAATTTCCTACCCGGTACCTTATCAATATGAAGATGTTGAATCCGTATTCATAGGAACCAGACTAGTCACCGGACTTAACTGTTGTGAATGAATAATGGCAGTTGATAGTTCTCTCTTTGGGCTGGGGAAGGGGGGCCTCCTGCATCACTTTGTTTTTTGTTGATAAATGTGGATTCTCATCTTCTTTGGAGGATTTAAAATTTTTTATATCTTCAGAACTTACTGTTGCAATGTTTTTGGCAGATGTTTATTCCTATCCGGAAGATGACAGTGTTTTGGATCCGCTCCTGGCTCAGCATCTGGCCCATTTCGGAATTGACTTCTCCTCGATGCAGAAGGTTAGTGATGTATGGTTTTGTTGAATTATATTGGTGAAGAGTGCGTCTTGTCTGAAAACTATATACTGTTGGTCTGTGGTACTGAATTTCGTATGCTGCATATAGAAGCTCAAGCTTAGGTATTTTTGTAGTGCTGAGGTTTGTATAAGTACTTGCTGGTTCTGAAAGCTTCTGTCTTGAGTTCATTTTTTTCCCAGTATCTGTTACCACAGAAATCCATGTTTTCGTCAATATGCTGTACATATGTTATATTTTTCATTTGCTAAGAGCAAGAAGGCCCACTTTTCTATAATTGCGATTGTAAAAATGTAGCAGTGTTCCTAGAGAATGTCATTTAAGGTTGTTTTAAGACAATAATTCCCAAACACACGTTCAGTCTACCAACATGTATTTGTTGCGTCATTAACGTCTAGACGTTTACACCATTAAGCTAATTTTTGGTTTTCTATGTCCTCATCTTTCCGTACAAAGATGCTTCATTTCCCAGATTACATGGTTTTGTAGTTCTTTTGGACTTGTTTGCCAGTTAATACTGCCTGATCATCCTCTTTGCTTAAAGATATGCCATTTTGATAAAACATAATTCAATTGAATAATCTTAAGTTTATTGGGTTGTGTAAATCAATCTTCACAGACAGAAATGACAACTGCCGAAAGAGAACTTGATCAGAATACGAATTTTGATTGGAACCGTATACAAGAGAGTGGAAAAGAATTGGTACCAGTTTTTGGACCTGGATATACCGGACTTGCCAATCTTGGGAACAGGTACTCGTTGTAATGAAAAACTTATTAGGGGGATTTCTTTCCTTGTTGATGTCTAATGACCATTTCATTTCTTTTGCCAGTTGCTACTTGGCAGCTACAATGCAGATTGTTTTCTCTACCCATTCATTTATCTCAAGGTAAGAGCAAGTAGATACCATTGCCCATGTTTCCTTTTTTCACTTGTATAATTAAAAACGAAACAAACCTTTTACTCTTAGAATCCACTGTAGTAAATTCTGGTTCTGAGATTGTTGCAGATACTTTTCACACCAGAGCTTAAAGATGGCTTTTGAGATGGCTACTGCTGATCCAACTTTGGACCTCAATATGCAATTGTGAGTTTCTTTCAGAAAAAATGTTACTATGTTTACATTCAGGACTTTCTGATACGTGCGATTGAACTTTTGACATTGTAAAGATAGAAGGGGTTTTAACATTATATTGTGCATGCTCTGTATCTGCATGATACATCGTCAAGTTTCTTTTCTTCTCTCCGCTCGGTTTTAATATGATGTGCATTTTTTAAAATCTGATTTCCATGAGGGGAAGTTGCATGGAAGTTTTGCATATTCATTTACTAATCCTTGCTGTTGGTGGCAGAACAAAGCTTGGACATGGTTTACTATCTGGGAAGTACTCTATTCCTGTCACAGAGGTATGACTATATTTCAGGAGAAGAAATTTGATTGCATACATATATATTACCTAAACCACCTCTTTTAGCCTCAATACATTAATTTTCTCATTCTTCTGATTGCAGAAGGATTCTGTAACTGGAGAGGCTGTAAGATTCTTATTCAATATGTTTCTTATTGATCCTCTAATAGAAGCAATTGATTGATCAAGAAGAGCCTTATTATCATATCAATCTGTTTCTTCTACATGTTTTGCATTTTGTTGATCTCTGATGATTTTACAAATTGTTTTTTTTAATCGGTTATAGAGACAAGAAGGAATACCTCCTCGCATGTTTAAATCGGTAATTGCTGCAGGCCATTCAGAGTTCTCTTCTATGAGACAGCAGGTGAAAACCATGTCTTTTTGAATGTTCAGAATTTTGTAGATTGTATTGAATGACGCTCCTTCTAGATATCTATTTACTAAATTCATTAAGATTTCGCACTAACTAGCACCATTCCGTCTCGTAGGATGCTCTTGATTTTTTCCTCCATTTGCTAGACAAGGTTGAGCGTGGCAGCAACATGAGACCAGATTTAGACCCCTCGAGGAGCTTCAAGTTCGGAGTCGAAGAAAAGATCCTTTGTTCATCTGGAAAGGTGGGATATAATAAGAGAGATGACTGCATTCTTTCTTTGAACATTCCGTTGCATGAGGCAACTAATAAAGGTATATCCTGTTCTCCCTTCTCTGTTCCTCTTCCTTTATCATTCGGCTTGTTTCTTGGTTCGGTGGTATTTATTTTGCTTAATGTTTGGTGATCAAGATGAATTAGAGGCCTTTAACAATCAGAAGAAAGCAGGAAAAGAAGAAAATGATATGTGAGTTTACTGACTCAAGTTTAATATGTTTCATAGTTACTCCTCTGCATATCTAAGATATTTATTCCCAGCAGGTCAACTGATGAAATTGTACGCCCACGAGTTCCTTTAGAAGCTTGTCTAGCAACTTTTGCATCTCCAGAGCAGATTCATGATTACTATAGCACTGCTCTGAAGGGGAAGACAACAGCTATCAAGTATGATGTTTCTTTTATGAGTGAATCCTAGCACAAATGAGACTAGAATGAAAGTAAACTAATGCATTTAAGGGTGAAATTTTATGCAGGACAACTAGCTTGACATCTTTCCCAGATTATTTGGTCTTGCACATGCGGAAGTTTGTTATGGAGGCAGGCTGGGTGCCAAAGAAACTTGGTCTCTTTCTGAAACACTAAAAATATCCACTTAATAATGGTTCCCTGTATATAAATGCGTATCATCCTTTTTTCTTGATTTGCTGAGGCAGATGTGTACATTGATGTTCCGGATGTAATTGATATCAGCCACATGCGCAGCAAAGGACTTCAGCCCGGAGAGGAACTGTTGCCAGATAGCGGTATGTTGTTGTATTTATTTTACAAGAATGTGTGTTTAATTTGATTCGCTTGAATAATGATTTTATTTGACTTAAATGTATCCTATATAATTCTTGTTGGCTTGTTCATTTTTTTTACTGCGTGCAGTTCCAGAAGAAGCGATGGAAGCAGCGCAGCCTGTGGCAAACGAGGAGATAGTTGCACGACTTGTCGATATGGGATTTGACCAGCTTCGTTGCCAAAAAGCTGCCATAATTACTTCGAATGCTGGGGTCGAAGTGGCGATGAACTGGTTAATTGATCACTTGGGTGATGCAGGTAAATCGAAAACATTTCCACCGAGTCTGCAGTTGATGCTTGACTTTTCGAGACCAATTACTAATACGATGAGGTATTATGTTTCATAGACATCGACGCACCAATCTCCCATCAGGCATCTGACGTTGATCAATCAAGCGTTGACACCTTAATCTCCTTTGGTTTTGCTGAAGAGGTTGCTCGAAAGGCACTCAAAGCCTCGGTAAATCAACTCTTCCTAACGCGTTTTGAGTATAGTTACATTTTGACGAGTCTCTTTTTACTTACTACTCGGGAGATTGTTGTGAATCAGGGAGGAGATATAGGGAAAGCAACAGAGTGGATATTCAACAGCCCTAATGCAACTAATTCGGACATGGACGTTTCCTCTAGCAACTCAGCACAGACTCAAGCTCAGAGTGAATTACCAGACGGAGGAGGGAGTTAGTTTCTTCTTCGAAACTCTTTTTTTTATCAAAACAAATCAAAAGTGAGAATTGATCCCAACTGAAAAAAGCTTTTTGATTTTTGTTGTTGTGTCTTTGAAAACCGCAGGATACAAGCTGTTTGGGATAGTAAGCCACATGGGAACATCAACTCACTGTGGTCACTATGTGGCGCACATATTGAAGGAAGGTCGCTGGGTTATTTTCAATGACAGCAAAGTCGGTGTCTCGACGGATCCTCCTAAAGACATGGGTTATCTCTACTTCTTCCAGCGTCTCGACAATTGATTTATATAAAAAGCTTTTCTTTCATCATGCGAGAGAGCGTCTATGGAGACGGTAAAAAAAAACAGACGAGAGACTAGTCAAGTCCTTTCTTTCTTTAGAATTTTTAGGGTTCTAGGGGTTTTAAAATTTGGATTGATGTGTTGTCCCATGGGAGATGAATTGTTTTGTTTCCAAAATTTTACTTGTGGATTATGTCAAAATTACTAATTTTGGTTCAATGTGGTGATCGCATCCTGCCGAACTTCTTCATTAGTTATACATATAAATCTACACAATAAGCTTCTACCCATTTAGAAATGTTAAATATCATGCAAAGACGCCTCATCAAAAGGCAACAAGTCAAGAAAATGATAAAAACGATTTAATGTCTGATATATTTTGTCACGTAAAGGCAGAATCATCAAAACATTCTATCAGCTTTGGGAATTGAGAATTTATTTTATATATTATCTTAGACATAGATATTTCATTAGCTTATTCAGTATTTTGTTTTCATCTAATAACAGATGGACACGTAAAAATGATACCTACTTAAAAGTTTAAGTATGATATTCGACTATTATTATATACCTTTTATGGTATATGAATTGGATGTTGATAGATAGTATACGAATGCTGAATCAAGAATCAAAATACATTCGTATACCATAATTAAAGGTATTATAGTCGAATAATAGCATAGTTAACTTGTTAGTGATAATATTTGTTGCAACACTTTTACGCATCTTTCTATCGTTAGAAGAAAAAGTTGAGGCATGTATGAGGCAGATGAGGCATGAGCTATAGAAACGAAGTCAATTACGAAAACCAATTCAGAGTTGAATACTTTTAGGTCTTTTCTTATTAATTTCAATTGTTGGTTTAACTGTTTATGCAAATAAGGTGAAGTGGTTCCTTAATTACATGTCTCTCCGAGCCACAACATAAAACCAGTCCTATATCAAAACTACCTAATTTAGAACACCTCTCCTTGTTCATCAACCATCTTCCTTTCTTTGAATAAAACTGTTGGATTTTGATATTACCTAACAAATGAGATCAACTTAACCAATAACACAATTATAAACAAAACTACGATCAACTCTAAAAATATGTTAATGCAAAGAAACTCATGATAAAATAGTTCATAAAAAAGTAAAGAACGAAGAATAGAAAAACTTCATATTCAAATTATATAAATCCCTAAATAAAAGCTAATCTAATAAATAATTCCAAATATATGATCACACTGAACTATACTTAGATATTTACCGTAATAAAAAGAGTAGATGACTCTATATATCATCTTCAAAAAAGATATGTTTATCTTTGCTTATATTGTTTACATAATTACCAAATATTAATATATGAGATTAACTTAATCAAATAATACAACTATAAAAACAAAAAAACTGAATAACCCTAAAATTATGTAAATGCAAAAAAACTCGTAACAAATTATTCATAAAAAAATAAAGAACAAAGAAAATCAAATTCAGATTCAAATTATATATATATATATATTTATTTATTTATATATATAGTTGACATAACAAATTATATATATATATATATATATTTGACACCAATTCAAATTATACAAATACAAACTAATCTAAAAAGGAAATTTAATATATACAGCATATAACAATGAACTAGACTAATATAGATTAAGTAATATATCAAATGGAGATTTGGTACATGATTTAGTCACTTAAAATCTTTTAGTTTCTTTCCTAAATCAAATAAGAACAATTAACCTAGTCAATTTAGAAGTTATTTTGTATTTATCTTCTTTTTTCTGGTGATGTGCCCGTCTACATGACCTATTGGAGAGAACTCATCATTTTGGTGGTTATATAATGATGAACGGGAGATTTGTTAAACACTCATCCCTCGATGGACTAAAACGAAACACAAATCATTTCTTCATTGAACATTATGTTCTTCAAAATTTCTCCATACATTGTCGACTTTGACAAAAAGAATAAAAATAAACTCTCATGGGATCTTTCACTGCTGTCTCGTATCTACGTTCGGTGTTTGATGGTGAAAACAGAAACCATATAGATTGAATTGATGTGAACGTTCGTCGGTGCTGATAATCTACGTAATCTCAGGTTAGTTTCATGATTTTTATTTTTGTGTTATTTCATTTTCGCTTTCTGTGTTTCATCATCGTCTTACTTTTATTCACACAGAATCGGAACCATATAATAGATGATCATACAAAGAAGCCTAATCAAAAGCAACCAGTCAAGAAAATGATAGGTACAATTATGCATACTCATGTTGTTATTTTTCTTCTTCTAAAGAATGCATATACTCATTTTACAAACTCAGATCTGATATATGTATCATGATTAACACACATGAAAAAGAAAACACGGAATTATCAAGACATTTCCCTCAGTTTTGAGATGCTTTTGTTGCCACGATGACAACAAAAGCATACTCTTGTTGTTGTTTTTCTTCTAAAGAATGCATACTCATGTTACAAACTCAGATCTGATATATGATAATATGAATCAGGATATTAGCACCCAAGAAGAAGAAAAGGCGGAATCATCAAGACATCTTGTCAGCTTTGAGATGCTTTTGTTGCGACGATGGAAAATTGAAACCTATGGAATCACGAGAAAAGATATTAACAGTTCGACTATGATCTTCACGTGTGATGGTTGGGTAGGTTGGATGAAGCAGAAGTGTAAAACAAAAGTCGTATGTATATATAAAATTCTAGACATATATAATTCATTGATTTCTAATCAATTTCTTGATATGATTTCTGATTAGGTTTTTTTCTTGCAGGATCACTTACTGTGATTCCGCTTTTGTGTAAGATATATAACACGCTGGAGAAAATATAACTTTTTTGATTCCGTGAATGTGATGACTTAGAGAAGAAAGATGAGCTGGAGAAAGGAAGTCAATGAAGAAAACCAGACAACCACTGTAAAGCCTCTATCACCTAACTAAATAGAAAAGGAATACATTTTTTACAGCTATCGTAAAGTCTCTATTACGTGAGTTTTGGCAAAAATTAAATTTAACTGACTAAGTAAAACTATGATAGGAAAAAGAAGAAGTAAAAAGCCTGATTGAAAAAAATCAGTCTAGTTAAGTAAAATTTGTTTACTAGTCTAATAACATGATTTACATTGCTAAATAATTTAGTATAACTAGTCAAATTTTTTTATTAAGTTATTTAGCAAGCCTATTATGATATAGAATTAAGCAAAAGACTTTACCAGTGTTATACCAAGTTTTTAACTAGTAAAGGTTTTTTTTGCTAGACTATATCATAAGGGGTTTGTTATATAACTTTGTGATTAATATTTTTCTAGTTAAATCTTATACCAAGTTATCTAGCAATATTAATTACTTCCTCTGTTTCAAAATAAATGTTATTTTGACACTTTTCACACAAATAAAGAAAAATATTAAAAGTTCTGTTTTATCCTTTGTTCACATATAAAATAATATTCTCTTTTTAATTAATACATTAGTATAACAAGGTTAAAACAAGATTTTTGTTTAGAAAATTGCATTGAAAATATAAAATGACATTTTTTGTGAAACAAAAATAAAACTCTAAAATGATACTTATTTTGAAACTGAGGGAGTATGTAATTCGACTAGTATATGAAGATGAGGCATGAGCTGTAGAAACGAAGTCAATTACGAAAACCATCCAAAGTTGAAGACTTTTAGATCTTTTCTTATTAATTTCAATTGTTGGTTTAATTTTACTTTGGGCCTTACGCTGTTTATCAAGTATATGATGTTTATTATTCATTGAAGTTCCCTTTATGCCATAGATTTTAAAGGTTTCTCCGTATATTTGAAGGATTTATGTTCTTTTTTTTCTTCAATAGTTTGTTCTTAGCTCCTTGATTGACCAATATATAAATTAGTCTTGTGCTATTAAAAGAGGTTAATAGAATTTTGTTGATATAGAAACTAATACATAATTTTTTTTTTTTGAACTTCAACTAATACATAGTTGAATGAAACAAAATAATAATGGAATATATAATTCAATGAGTGTACTTGGTCGAATCTATAAATTTTGAAAGAAGGAACTAAACACAAAGCAAAACTCAAGAAAGATTCAATAATATTAACAAGTAAAACAAAATAAGGAAAAGGAAAATAAAAAATCATTAATCACTTAAACAAATCGCGAAACAGACGAGCAGAATCATCAAGACACAAACCGGAAAATAGCTTCTTAGCGAAGAAGAAGAGCCAGATTTGTTCATCTTAATTCCTTTATCATAAGCTTTAACACCATCTCTGTTGACTTCAACATCAGTACCAACCTCGATCCCATACCTCTTTGTTTTCCAAAACGCAATCGTGAACCTCACTCGTGTCTTCAAACCCAACCGAAAAACCGCCGATCCATTAGGCAAAACAGCTCGTAGAACCGTCTGGTTGTTCGAAGGCAGAACCTGACCCCACTTCTTGGCTTTCTTTTTGAGTCCTTGGTAGAATCGAGACACAGTGTAGTTAGCGATCGAGGTATTGGTAGTGTTGGAGAAGGAAAGGTGGACATCTTCGTAGTAGATTCCTTGGTCACTGTTTGGATTAGCGAGACGAACCACGAAGTTAAGAGTGGTATTGAGTCGTGAGTCAAGAGTTGTGTTGAGGGCAGGAACGTAAAAGTATTCGATCGAGCATTTTGGATCGTCGGGACGCATTCGGTTGAGACCTAGCCATAACAAGAGAGAGGTGATTGCAGTTCCGAAGATTAAGCTTAAGCAGAAGTTGCAACATCCACGGTCTTTGTCTTGAGCCATTTTTTTCAAGAATTTGATCTTTTTGTTTGAAAGCTTGAAGATGAAGATCTTTGGGAATTTTTTAGGTGATATATCAAGTTGACTCTAAGAGACGACTAAGCTGGAGACAGTAAGACAGACGCAAAGAAAAAAATATAAAAATGAAAACTAATTAATGCACGAAAGAAGATATATATATAATCCGAAGAGCATTTGAATTATATAAAAGGACCAAGAAGAAATGTTCTTTTTCTAATATATATATATGGTCAAGCCAGAAGGGCATGTTCATTACCAGAAATTCAACTTATCAACCCCAATATTTGACATTGTAGAGATAGAAAAGGACCAAAAGGTTCCAACATTATTTATGTTGCATGCTCTGAATCTGCATGATACATCCTCAAGGTTTTGTTATTTCCGTACATTTTTTTTTATTCAATAATAGAGACAAGAAGGAGTACCTCCTCGTATGCTCAAATCGGTAATTGCTGCAAGCCATGCAGAATTCTCTTCTATGAGACAGCTGGTGAAAACCATTTCTTTTAAAATGTTCAGAATTTTGTAGATTATTTTTCTTGAGTGATGTTCCTTCTAGACATAACTAATTACTAAATTCATTAAGATTTCAATCGAACTAGACTCAAGAATTGTTACAAACGATTACATTACATCATATATGTATATATATTTTTGACAGATTTGGAGTTTGTAAAAACTTTTGAGAGTATATCAGCATTTGCAGCAAGATTCTCTATTTCTTTAAATTTTGGGCTTGGCTATTAATTCTTTTGACTTCAAGGAATTGAACATATTCACAAGGGGACTCTTAGTTTGAAGGTCGAGTAAGATGTCACAATCATAACTTTGATTACAAATGGGCTCGATCTTCTTTCATGATTCTTCCATTCATTTGTTTTGTTGTTGTTGAGAATTTGTGAGTTAAGAAGTAACAACATATATAGAACCAAATTAACCTCTCTCGTATTATAATGCTATGTCAAAAAAAAGTTTGAAATGTAATGCTATGTCAAATAACTTAATTTTTCCCTCAGTCAAGTTGGAAGAAAATGTATAGATATATTAATTTATGGTTAAAAAAAGAGGAGAAGAATCTATATAGACGTTTATATTTGCTTATATTGTTTACAAATAGAGTAATTACCTAGCAAATGAGATCAACTTAACCAATAACATAATTACAAACAAAACTACGATCAGCCCTAAACTATGTTAATGCAAAGAAACTCACGACGAAATGGTTCATAAAAAAATAAAGAACGAAGAAAAGAAATTAAAAATTCATATTCAAATTATATTTCCTAAAGAAAAGTTAATCTAATAAACAATTCCAAGTATATGATGCATGATCACACTGAACTGTACCTATATATTTACTATAAAAAAAGAAGAAGAGAAGATGACTTTATATAACTCGTCTTCAAAAAATATATGTTTCTTTGCTTATATTGTTTATACAATAACCTAATATTAGTATATGAGATTAACAAAAATATTAAATAACCCTAAAATTATGCTAATGTAAAAGAAACTTGTGACAAATCATTCATAAAAAAAAAAACAAAAAAAATCAAATTCAAATTCAAATTATATATATAAAAACTAATCTAAAAAATAAATTTAATATATACAGCGTATAACAATGAACTAGACTTAATACAGATTAAGTAATATATCAAATGGAGATTTGATACATGAATTAGTCACTTAAAATTTTTTAGTTTCTTTCCTAAGTCAAATAAGAACAATTAACCTAGTCAATTTAGAAGTTATTTTGTACTTATCTTCTTTTTCTGGTGATGTGCCAGTCTACATGACCTATTGGAGAGAACTCATCATTTTGGTAGTTATATAATGATGAACGAGAGATTTGTTAAACACTCATCCCTCGATCGACTAAGACTAAACACAAATCATTTCTTCATTGAATATTGAGAAAAAGGTCATTTAAATGCTGAAATTTCAAATTTCAGTCATTCTAAGCATCACCTTCCGTGTGATCTATTTAAATAACAAACTTTTTTGTTGATCGATGTTAAATTTCAAATTTATGTTGACTCGGCTATTCTAGGCACGACGTTAACATCACTAACAGATTGACTAAACGTCGTTTGGTCAACGTCTGTTAGTGAATTCAATGTCATACCTAAGTTTTGCATGGATAGTTTAAATCACAAATTTTTATATCGATTATTTTTAAACAACAAACTTATGTTGATTGGCCATATTAGGCATAACATTGAATTCACTAACTAACGTTGACCAAACGACATTTAGTCAATCTGTTAGTGATATTAACGTCGTGCCTAAAATGGCCGAGTCAACATATATTTATGATTTTAACATCGTCAATAAAAAGTTATTATTTAAATGGATCACCCAAAAAGTGATGCTTAGAATGACTGAAATTTGAAAATTCAGCATTTAAATGACCTTTTTCCTATAGAATCCACAACAAATAATAACATAAGAGAATTCTTCAAAAAGGAAACATACCTTTTCATACATTTTTTCCTTTTTGTTTTCCAGTGATTTACTACAATTCTCTCCCAAATCATGAGAGATCCCATGAAGAATTTGCTGTCAATCAAGTTTTGGGGAAAGATAAGAGAATCCATAGCAAATAATAACATTTAATACCTTTTTTCCTTTTTGTTTTCCAAACAATACAAAGTTCAGCATTGATAGTCAAATGGAATCCACAGCAAATAATAACATAAGAGAAAATGTTGTCAGTCAAGTTTTGGGGAAAGATAAACCTAGAAGAGTTAGAAGAATGGACAGAGGGCAAGCTAGCATTTCTCCATGCTAGGGATGTATATGTGCAAAAACTTGAGGCTTCTCAAGCCCAGTTTCTTAGTGAGCTTGAAGATTTGAAGCACGTAGTCCGTGATTTAGCTGGAAAAAAAGTATTTGAAGCACCAATTCTCTTTTATTTATGCGGATAGAATAAATTTTATTGACTTAAACATCATATTTCCTCATCCTAATTCCTTTATCATAAGCTTTAACACCATCTCTGTTGACTTCAACATCAGCACCAACCTCGATCCCATACCTCTTTGTTTTCCAAAACGCAATTTTGAACCTCACTTGCGTCTTCAAACCTAACCGGAAAACCGCCGATCCATTAGGCAAAACCGCTCGTAAAACCCTATGCTTGTTCAAAGGCAGAACCTGACCCCACTTCTTGGCTTTCTTCTTGAGTCCTTGGTAGAATCGAGACACCGTGTAGTTAGCGATCGAGGTATTGGTAGTGTTGGAGAAGGAAAGGTGGACATCGTCGTAGTAGATTCCTTGGTCACTGTTTGGATTAGCGAGACGAACCATGAAGTTGAGAGTGGTATTGAGTCGTGAGTCAAGAGTTGTGTTGAGGGCAGGAACGTAAAAGTATTCGATCCAGCATTTTGGATCGTCGGGACGCATTCGGTTGAGACTTGAGACCTAGCCATAACAAGAGGGAGGTGATCGCAGTTGCGAAGATTAAGCTTAAGCAGAAGTTACAACATCCACGGTCTTTGTCTTGAGCCATTTTTTTCAAGAATTTGATCTTTTTGTTTGAAAGCTTGAAGATGAAGATGTTTAGGAAAATTTTAGCTGATACATCAAGTTGACTCTTAGAGACGACTAAGTAGGAGACAGTAAGGCAGACGCAAAGAAAAAAAATATAAAAATGAAAACTAATCAATGCAGGAAAGAAGATATATAAATAATCCGAAGAGCATTTGGATTATATAATAAAAGGACCAAAAATAAATGTTCTTTTTCTAATGTATATATATATATGGTCAAGCTAAACGTGCATGTTCATTAACAGAATTACAGAAATTCAACTTATCAACCCCCAATATTTCACATTGTAGGAAAGGTTCCATGCATTATATTTGTTGCATGCTCTGAATCTGCATAATACATCCTCAAGGTGTTGTTATTTCCGTACACTTTGTGTTCTTAATCAATAATAGATACAAGAAGGAGTACCTAGCTCCTTGATCGTATGCTCAAATTGGTCCATGCAGGATTCTCTTATATGAGACAGCAGGTGAAACCATTTCTTTTGAAATGTTCAGAATTTTGTAGATTATTTTCTTGAGTGATGATCCTTCTAGACATAACTATTTACGAAGTTCATTAAAAGTTCACAATAACTAGACCATAGAATTGTTACTAACGATTATACATTACATCATACATGTATATAGAGTTTTGACAGAAATAGATTTTGTAAAAACTTTTGAGAGTATTTCAGTATTTGCAGCAACATTCTCTATTTTTAAATTTTGGGCTTGGCTATTTCTTTTGACTTCAAGGGTTTGAACATATGTTCATTAGGGGACTCTTAGTTTGAAGGTCGAGTAAAATGTCATAATCATGCAATTTGATTACAAAGGTTCATCGATCTCTATATTGGGCTTATCTCCACGTTGTCAATTTCATATAGCAGGGTGCCAGGGTGTATTTGCAATTGTTTTTCCCTATTCTCATCTAGAAAAGAAAGTTATACAATTATACTGGATGTGAGATTCGTTTTCAGTAATAACAAAAAGAAAAATGATCAAGTGTATGAGAAATATGAAATATAATTACTCAATTGATGATGAGTTTTTTCTTTTTGTTTCTAGATACGAATGGGCTCGAGCTTCTTACATGATTCTTCCATTCATATGTTTTGTTGTTGTTGAGAATTTGTGACTTAAGAAGTAAGAACATATATAAAACCAAAATAAGCTCTCTCCGTATTAGAATGCTGTGTCGAAAAAAAGTTTGGAAGTGTAATGCTATGTCAAATATGTTTTTGAAGTGTCAAATAACTTAAATTCCCCATCAATCAATTTGGAAGAAAAAAGAGGACAAGATTCTAGATAGACGTTTATCTTTGCTTATATTGTTTACAAATTGAATAATCGTCTAACAAATGAGATCAACTTAACCAATAACATAATTATAAACAAAACTACGATCTATTTTTTTTTTTTTGAACATTTGCTTAAACCTAAAACTATGTTAATGCAAAGAATCTCATGAAAAAATGGTTCATAAAATAAAGAACGAAGAAAAGATAAAACTTCATATTCAAATTATATAAATTCCTAAATAATCTAATCTAATAAACAATTCCAAATATACGATGCATGATCACACTGATCTATATCTAGATATTTACCGTAAAAAAAGAAAGAAGATGACTCTAAATTTTTTGAAATAACCCACTTGACAATTTCATTATGAAACATGATTCTTCCTAAAATGACTGATAAGAATCTGCTGTTAGTCTGCCATTAATTTGTAATTAGTCTAGCATTAGTCTGTTTGTAATCTATATTCAATTATTTGACCAGTCAGTCTAACAGTAGTCTGCTAGTACTCAATATTCAATATGCCGCTAGTCTGCCATTATTCTACAAATAACAGTAGTTAGAAGGATAACGCTGATATTTATAAAAATCGTAAAAAGAAAATATTTTCACAATTTTTTCTCAATGAGGTATCCATTTCATATTAATTTATCATTCATGGTTATTTTGGAGTATTTCCTCTATATTATATTATATATAACTCATCAAACAAAATATGTTTATCTTTGCTTATACTGTTTACACAGTTACCTAATATTAATATATGAGATTAACTTAATCAAATAACACAATTATAAAACCAAAAAAAACCGAATAACCCTAAAATTATATTAATGCAAAAGAAACCCGTGACAAATTATTCATAAAAAAAATAAAGAACAAAGAAAATCATATTCAAATTCAAATTATATAAATTAAAACTAATATAAAAAAAGAAATTTAATATATACAGCGTATAACAATGAACTACTTAATCATATTATTAATTGGTAAGCAAATTGGGATATGGTTGAGAGTTATGATGGTTGATTACTTTTTACCTCTTATATGAAAAAACTTTATTTACCCTTAATGAAATTAACAAATTAATATAATCTAATTTTCAATTTTTTGTTTTATTTAAACTTAAATTTCCAAATTCGAGTTTATATCATAATAATAATATTCAGTTTACTAAAAAAAATTAATTAGCATAAATCACAAAAAATCAATTTTAGTTATTTTCTTAAACTAATTTTAATTTAATCGTTCAACCTACTAATATTTTTGATTAAACTAATTGATTTATGCGGTCAAAAGTAAAACTCTAAATCTTATGAAAATTGATTTATGCGGCCAGAAAACAATACATCTCATGAAAATTATATTTTTCAAATATATTAATTGTGATTTCAAATAATTATAAAATCTGATTTTTTCATCTATAAATAAACTAATGTTATTATTTTTAAAAAAATTTAATCGAACCCCGCACCTTGTGCAGGAAAACACCTAGTATAGATTAAGTAATATATCAAATGGAGATTTGGTACATGAACTAGTCACTTAAAATCTTTTAGTTTCTTTCCTAAATCAAATAAGAACAATTAACCTAGTCAATTTAGAAGTTATTTTGTACTTATCTTCTTTTTCTGGTGATGTGCTAGTCTACATGACCTATTGGAGAGAACTCATCATTTTGGTGGTTATATAATGATGAACGGGAGATTTATTAAACACTCATCCCTCGATCGACTAAGACTAAACACAAATCATTTCTTCGTTGAACATTATGTTCTTCAAAATTTCTCATACAGTTGTCGATTTTGAGAAAAAGAATAAAAATAAACTCTCATAAGATCTCTCACCGCTGTCTCGTATCTACGTTTGGCGTTTGATGGCGAAAACAGAAACCATATAGATTGAACTGATGTGAACTTTCGTCGGTGCTGATGATCTACGTAATAATCTCAGTTTAATTTCTTGATTTTTATTTTTGGGTTATTTCATTTCCTCTTTCTACGTTTCACCATCGTCTTACTTTTATTCACACAGAATCGGAACCATATAATAGATGATCATGCAAAGAAGCCTAATCAAAAGGCAACAAGTCAAGAAAATGATAGGTACAATTATGCATACTCATGTTGTTGTTTTTTTTCTTCTAAAGAATGCATATACTCATGTTACAAACTCAGATCTGATATATGATAATATGAATCAGGATTAGCACACAAGAAAAAGAAAAGGCGGAATCATCAAGACATCTTGTCAGCTTTGAGATGCTTTTGTTGCGACGATGGAAAATGGAAACCAATGGGATCACCAGAAAAGATATTAACAGTTCGACTATGATCTTCACGTGTGATGGTTGGGTAAGTTGGATGAAGCAGAAGTGTAAAACCAAAGTAGTATGTATATATAAAATTCTAGACATATATATTTCATTAGCTTCTAATCAATTTCTTGATATGATTTCTGATTAGTTTTTTTTTTCGTTTTGCAGGATCATTTACTGTGATTCCGCTTTTGTGTAAGTAAACAGAAAAGGAATACAATTTTTACAGCTATTGTAAAGTCTCTATTACGTGATTTTTGGCAAAAATTAAATTTAAAGAACAAAAAAGAAAAACTGACTAAGAAAACTATGAAAGGAAAAAAAAGAAGTAAAAAGCCTGATTGAAAAAATTAGTCTAGTTAAGTAAAAAACTTTACTAGTTTAATAACATGATTAACATTGCTAAATAATTTAGTATAACTAGTCAAATCTTTTATAAAGTTATTTAGCAAGCCTATTATGATATATAATTAAGCAAAAGACTTTACTAGTGTTATACCAAGTTTTTCACTAGTAAAGTTTTTTTGCTAAACTATATCATTAGAGGTAGGTTAGTTTCATGATTTTTATTTTTGTATTATTTCATTTCCGCTTTCTATGTTTCATCATAGTCTTACTTTTATTCACACAGAAGCGGAACCATATAATAGATGATCATGCAAAGAAGCCTAATCAAAAGGCAACAAGTCAAGAAAATGATAGGTACAAAATTATGCATACTCATGTTTTTTTTTTTTTTTTGCTAAAGAATGCATACTCATGTTATAAACCCAGATCTGATATATATAGCACACAAGAAAAAGAAAACACGGAATTATCAAGACATCTTGTCAGATTTGAGATCCTCTGTTGCTACGATGACAACAAAAGCATACTCATGTTGTTTTTTTTCTTCTAAACAATGCATACTCATGTTACAAACTCAGATCTGATATATGATAATATGAATCAGGATTAGCACACAAGAAAAAGAAAAGGCAGAATCATCAAGACATCTTGCCAGCTTTGAGATGCTTTTGTTGTGACGATGGAAAATGGAAACCTATGGGATCACCAGAAAAGATATTAACAGTTCGACTATGATCTTCACGTGTGATGGTTGGGTAGGTTGGATGAAGCAGAAGTGTAAAACAGAAGCGGTATTTATATATAAAATTCTAGACATATATAATTCATTAGTTTCTAATCAATTTCTTGATATGATTTCTGATTAGGTTTTTTTTTTTTGCAGGATCACTTACTGTGATTCCGCT